TTGGCGGGATTCTGTCTCACAGGAGACTGAGCCAGGAAGCACTCACCACAGGGAAGAGATCCCAAACACGAACGCAAGTGCCGTGCCTCCTCCAAGAGCCCATGGCTGCTTGTGAGTCGGGGGCGGTGGAGCTACCTGCACTGGGCTCCGCAAAGGAATGCCAAGAGTGGTGCCACTGTTACCATACAGAGGTCCAGCTCGAGTAAGCGAGCAGCTGAGATCACAAAACAGCTGAGTTTAATTGGGTTGAATGAATTGAGCTGCAGGGGAGGTGAGAGGAAGGTGACACAGTGTTAGGAGACTTTGTGCAACTTCGAAGAACTGGCTAGTTCAGTATTTTGTTTAATTTGGCAAACGCAGTGAAAGCACGACAATGGTTTTCTTGTACTCCACTAACTTACAACTTCAGTGTGGTTGGAAGCACTGATAGAGGAAAGACGACAGAATTTGGATACAAGAAGAAGGTACATAACAAGAACGTGTGGCATGCAAATCAGACAGGTTGAGGTGCCAAACTATTTGTCACCATTCCCTTGCTAGAAAGCACCAGATCTCTGCACAAATGAGCACAAGTACTGGTCAGCGCAAGAGTATAAGGCATTCACAGAGGAGACAAGATGAGACACCAGTGACTGACCCACCAATGTAAATCATACAAGGCAATATAAGGTTCCTTCTCTGAACTGCACATAAACATCTAAAAATAAACCCAGCTCCGCTTTCTCCCGCCGTTTGTTGGGATAGGGAAGGCGCTAATTCTCAAAGAATGTTTTACGGTTTTAACATATCACATTTCTCCTGTTTGACACCTCGTACAATGCCATCCCACATCACACTCATAAGCCGCAAAGCTGACCTGAGCTACTCCCATCCACCTCTCACTATCCACCCCAAGATCCAGTTTCATACGACAATAACAGCAGGATAAATTGAGCCAATTACTCACATGGTTTAGTGTCAGTCCACCTATAGAAGGCCCATACCTCAAGTCCAGGCTATACTCACCTCCATTGTCCTTTACAAACTCCGACCCAGTAAAATACAGCAGAGGCGGACTTGCCGCACGTTCCCACCTAAAGATTTTACAGCTGAGAGAGCAGTATGTATTTTTTACATTCACACATTAGCGTACAGCCTGGAGCTTTGGCCTGCCTCCTGAAATTGGAGTAACCTGCTGGAAGTGTTCTGTTCAAACATATCAAGAAACCTTAGAGAAGCGTATGATCATGCTAATTTACAAGCAGCTTTGAAATCCCGTTGCAGATACAAAAAGTTTGCAGAAAGCAAACAAACGTCCATTCAAATAATTGGTGTTTTTGTAGTGCGTTGCAGTTTATACCGGAGCTTATTTGCTTTCTTGCCAAGTAGGATGACAAGATTGAATCCACTCTTATGTCTGTACACAAAATATGAAGCTGGTTGGCCTAGCATAGCATAAAGACTGGAGACATGGGGACACTGCTAGCCTGGCTCTGTCCAAACGTAATCCACCTACCAGTCACCTCTGAAGCTAATTAATGAACTTGTCATATCATGTTTGTTTAATCCGTACAAAAACTTAATTGTAACTTCCTGGAGTCTCCGCTGGTTGTCTGGCCAAGAGACAGGTCAGCCCATAACACCTTGTAAAATGGTGAATTGTCATTTTTACAACCGAGATATAACTCGTTTATTTTCTGTCCCCTTGCTTCCAGTCCTCATGCTAAGCTAAGCTAACCAGCTGCTGGATCCAGCCTCATATTGGGCGTACAGACATGAAATAATACAGTGAATAAACATATCCTATAAATGTGGCTCGCAGTTGCTTTGATATGTCTTCTGCATCGTGTGAATGCTCGCTGCTAAGTGAAAAAATGTACAAACACCATCTCTCGACAGCAGGCAGATCCTCTCCACAATTCTCCGGCTGGTCTGGTGTTAATCGTGAATCTCCTGTCGTGTTTTCTGACATATTTACATGTAAAGCAAGACCTCCTCTTTTAGAATTCCTGTGGTGAGGCATCACAGACACACCACAGCCATGAGAAACTTTTGTGCTGGATTGTGAGGACATCCCTGCCCGGAGCGATGTGCTGCTCTGTCAGCCAAGACTCTGATTAAGTCTCAGCAGCGGAGTAATGAGCGCAGCGCTGCACAGTTAGACGCTGAGACAAGACTGACGCACGCAGACACAAAACATTCACGTACAGCAGCATATGTGAGATGGCAGACCAGAGTGCACAAGCACACACAGACACACAAGGATTTGTGCTGAGCCTCTCTCTCAGTAGAATTGGTGGCCCTGATTACTCAAACTAAAGCCAAACACTCCCCGCCCTGTCATCAGCGCTACTGCAGGCCACGGCATGAATAAGACATGAAGAGCAAAATACTAAGGATGGCTGTGCTCTGTGGCAAATCCTGTCATGTGTTAAAATTAGACACACTATGCAGACAAAAAAAAACACAGTCACACATACATGGGTACAGCTAACGAGTCCCGGCACAAAGGAAAGTGAGCGCCAAGTAGGTCAGTAAATGATGGTGAACGTTGGAGTCTGTGCGTGTTTGTGTTTGTCATCTTTTCCCTTCAGCGGGTTAAGCCGAATACTTGATGAGGGCCAGTGTGCCAGACAGTTGTTTGGCTAAAAGAGCAGGTCAGTTGTGGGTAAGCCAAGGCTGTCTCTGTGTGCTTAAATCTCCATCTCTGTTTTCATTAAATGCATTTGACTTTGGCCAGCAGGAAGTGTTGACATTTCTGCTTTCAAAGCATGCTGGAGGATGAACTGCACACATTTCACACTTTCACATGACAGACAATTGATTAACTGCTCAGCAGAAGGCCAAGAAAGACAGTCTCCTCTTAGTTATCCACTATACGCTCTAGAAAACTATAAACTCTAAAGGTTGTTCAGGTGTGAATGGAAGAGCAGATACACAAAGATAAAAGGACACTGCAACTACAAACCATTAAATCAATTTTAATACAAAGAACCGAAGCTTCAGGTGTCATTGTGTCTTGAGGGAAAAAGACTGCAATGCTATAGTGGTTGGGATTTTCAATGGGAAGCAAAAAGGCGACAGCTGTGAACTGGGGTCAGGTTGTCACTTAAAAACGGGTACTGTATGTAGTATATAAAATGTGCTATCAATGTAGCAGAAAAATACTGATTCCAATACCTCGACTATCTGCTGCTACAGAATACTGATCCAATACCTAAGTCATTTTTATGTAAGATAACAAGAAACCAGGGATGGTTGAGCACTAAAAACTGACTGAACAACTATAATTGGTAACAGAAACACCACGTTTCATGATGATGAAATTGTATGATGCTCAGATATTGGATTGTTGCATCCCTCAAAAATATGTTGATAAGAGCTGAGATTGGGCGATATAAACAGTAACACCTCCTTGATGAGAAAATGACTTACTGCCCTATTTGGTCATGTTTATGCCAACAAGGATAGGGAGCCTTAAATCCAACAGGAAACAAACGGTTGAAGTATCTTGTCAAGACTGCTGTAGAACGTGCCAACAAAACACATAAAATACCACAAATTACGTTTATCACCTGTAGCATCACCGTCAAATAGCAGAGTGGTTACAGTCTCAAACACCAGCAATTAAAGATATATCACACACACACACACACACACACACACACACACACACACACACACACACACACACACACACACACACTGGTGAAACTGAGATTTTAACTGATGAATGTAACTAGATATAAGCTCATATATGGAAATATTTCACACTGCAGGATTTATACACATAAGACAAGAAAAAGATTTTCTTTTTGCAGATCAAACAATTGTTGGTCTCTAACCAATAAACTCAGCAGATAATGTGACATAATTAATATCCTGATGTTTATTATCACCCAGCTCTAAAAACTCAACGACTTAAGGTTCTATCAACATTGCCCAATTTAGCTCTTAGTCAACCTTTGGGGAAGAAATCATTGGTACTTTATACTTCTCTGTCTTTAAGGGTCATAAAAATAATCTGTTTTGGCTCAACACAAAACTTAAGCTAACAAATTGGCTATTACTCATTTTCTTTCACTGCGATTGTCTTGGACCGAGAACTCTTGTACCTCGTAGGTTGCTACTGAGGATTTCACGTCTTAACATGCCAACGTGCAGCCAACCTGCCCAGCTGACACGGTGCTGTCTGATTAAGTTGTCTTTTATTAGTTCCGCCTTTTATCTGACTCCAAGAAACATAATCACACGGCTGTCTGCTATATGAAATGAAAATGAGTCAGGAGGCTGTCTATTCGGCAAGAACATGACAAACCAACACATACTGGTGGTGTAGCCTAAACATTACCTCATGTTCAGCAAATGTTGAGGTTATTATTGAAGTTGTTAACAATTTCCTACCTTATATCTCTCGTTTATCAAATAATCCATCACATAATCCATTTTCTGAGCTTGCAATTATTGGCAGCAAAGTCAGCATTATTTCTGAGGGTAGAGTTTGAATTTTGACCGTCAAAAACAGCTAAGATGCTGTTTTGGCTTGGTCTGGTCCATTTTGGCGGGGGCCACTGAAGCCACCTCCCCAGCTTGTACTGGAGCGTATAATCGATTGACCCACTGCAGGGTGCTACAGTGTTTGCCTCTGACAAAAGGGATGAAACACAGCTGTGATGACCAGAGAAGCACCCTGCTGCAGCCACATCCTGATGTTTGATATTCCAGATATTAGTCTGTGATTTTCCTGAAAGTGACAACCCAGACCTCGGCTGAAGTGGACCGGCCCTTCTGGCTTTTGCCCTCAAATACCAGATGGCCTATCCCAGCCCAGGCTGATTATAATTCCAACTCATTTCGACTAGTGACTGATAAATCTCCTGTGCTCTAAATCCCTCACAAAGACCAGCATATATCCTATCTTGTGTTAGAGGCATTCATAAAGGAACCTGTAGCAAACACTGGTGGTGCTTTGGTGATGCAGGATTGTGTTTAAGTGTTGGTGCAGTGTTTAGCAGCCCTACCTGGACCTGCTCACCCCGAACAGCCAAGTCGCCCAGCAGCGGTTCTGCAGGCGGCGTGTTAATTGTGACAGACTTTTCTGAGCGGCTGTCTTTGCTGCGGGACTTGTGGCGGTCCCGGCTCCGCTCCCTGTAAAACAGAAAAACAAAGCAAAAGTCATGGTTAGTGTTGTACGGATGTTACCATAAAGAGAAACCAAGAAGTCTTAGAGGTGCACTCCACACATTTTAGACTTGAATTTACATGAAAATCAGGGGTGCAAATAACTAACTAACTAACTATCATCATTGATTAATTTATCTTTTTAATTAACCAAACAGTGATTTAGTCGATAAAATCATATCAGAAAATAATGAATAGGCCCATCAGAGTACATGGTACTTTTCCAAATGTCTTATTTTGTCTGACCAACAGTTCAAAACACAGAATTATTCAGTTAACAGTTGTAGAAAACCAAGACAAATGCCAAATATTCACATCTAAGAAGCAGCAACCAGAGATTTTTGGGGGATTTTTGCATAAAAAAGTGACGACTAATAAAACAGTTGCAGATTAATTTTGTGTCAATCCACTAATTGTTTAAGCTCTAGAGAAAAGAGCTATAAAATATCCTTCCTAAAAATAATCTTATATGCAGGGGTCATTAATGGTCTGAAATGTAGGATCCAATGTGAGCCATACTCAGAATATCTCAGAACTCTGCTGCTTTGATTTTGACTCTAAACGTTATGGAAGAAATATGAGCGAATTTCAAGCCTCCATGTTTAGCGTAAAGACCCTGGCCCTTGACTTTTCCTTTCCTTGCTTTTTGATTTTACAGCAAAAGAACTTAAATGAACACACTGCACATACAAAGAGAAGCAGACAGGACTAGAGCTACTCTGTGTGTGAACGTGGAGAAATTAAATCATGCTTTGTTTCAGTCTCCGTCTAATTTCCAATGACTGAACTCTCCCCCACATAAACCCCTCCCACTACATCTTTCCTCGCTCCATCCATCCCTCCCTCCTCTTCCCTCCATTACTGCAGCACTCTCTACAAGGCCCTCTGTCCCCAACATATGAGCTCCATTAGCCAGACTGACCCCCTGCACTTACAGCCCTAATCCTGTATAGAGCGTGAACGGCAGGTCTCCGCATCCTCCGCCCAGCATCACCATCCCCACATGGCACAGTGCCCACTCTGTAGCTCCATTACCACAGAAAAGCTGCAGAGCCCCAGTTAATCTCATCTGTCTCCCTCCCCCCCCTCTGGCTGCTGACATCTTGGACATACAGTATTTTATAGTTTGAGCAGAACGCACACATCAAAAGGCTGCAAAACTGGTTGCGTACAACTGACTGTGTTGAGGTCTAACGCAAAATGTCTCAAGTTTATATCGCAGTTTTATTTCCCAGGTGTTGGATGGTGCTGAGACGGAATGAGAGACAGACAGACACCAGAGCCAGGGATGTCAGATCTCATATAGATATTACAGGCTGGAGATGCTATAAAGAGATTACCGGACAAACATATTGGACGTGAAGTGAATGAAAGAGACGTCATGCAGTTATTTTTCAGTCGCCTGTCTGAGGAAGACAAAGGACATCTCTAGATGCCGCTGTCTTGCTAAATGCTAATTGAGTTTCCTGCTGTCTCTAAGCATGTTGTTTCATGGTAATCACTTCTTTTGTAGGAGTGACATTAGAACAGAAGTGCAACAAATTCAATTTCCACAGTGCTCTCTCCATTAAGACAGTCACACACAGGATGTTGTTGCTTTTTTTTGGTTAAAGCTGCATCACATCAGCATTCATTTGGGGTCGTGTTTCTGGGTACGTCCAACGTTCACTTTTCTTTTAGCTCTGGTCTGGTCTTCGCAAACTCCTGGAGGAGATATTAGGCTGTTTAGTTAACTAGCCTCACCCTCTATTTGCTAACTTTCTCTGTGTGAGAGCTTTTTGCTGTAAACCGCTGCCTGCTGGGGCTGGAAACGACACAGTGACAGCCGTGAATCAAAACGAAAAGCTGTCGGACCTAAAACCAAATCAATGAGTTGAGAGGCTGAAACACTCCATAAAACTAAGGGCAACTCATTTTCTGTTGGATAATCATCACAACAAGCATCCTCTTTCATATTGCACACACTCATTTGTTCCATTGTTAGTACAAAAATATTGATTAGAGCAGCTTTAATGTATTAAAAGTCAGACAAAAGACGACAAAGTTTGGATAATGAAGGGTTGACATAGCTAAACAAGATCTGGTCTGACCCATGAGTAACAGCCGTTCACTGAACTATAAATGACAAACACAAACCCCTTGAATGACCCTTGATGCTACTTTCTCACACAATAACAATTCATAACCATATTGTACAGGATATCCTGCCTGCAGGGGTAATGGAGGCATCAGTGTGATTGACAGAAGCTGAACGGTCAAAGTCGCAGAGTTGCATTGGATCCAAGTGTTTTCATTAAAGGGTGTTAACCAGTCCGCTTTCCGCCTCTATTCTTGTACTTCCTTTTGAATGTGGACACGATTTCCTTCAAAAAGAAAATCACAACAGCAACTAACGTTTCAAATCTGCACACAGTAAGAGAAAGCTAATTTTCAATAGCCTGCAGCCACTTCTTTCACTGGCGGAGTGACTGACATATTCTTATCTAATGAATCCAGGAGATTAGGAGGTTGATGTAAGCCTTTAAATATTATTATGGCTATCGCCATCACTGCAGCGATGGTTATTCAGGCGGGAGTGATCATCAGTCAAAGGCTGTCACTGATTATGATTATTAATTGGGGAGGAGTGCTGTAGTAGAGGGAGCAGGGAGGAGACTGGGAGGAGCAGCAGGGCTCATAAAGCAGCGATCCTACTTCAAAGTCATCAGCAGAATAATAAGCAGCTCTGGGGGAAAGTACGGGAAAGGTAACAGCTACAGTAATGGGAGAGCAGAGAGTAGCAGACGGTTGTGTTAAAAAGAAAAATTCAATAATTTTTTAAAAACAGACATTTGGGATGAAAGTTGTATTTCAGAGTCTATCAGATGTGTTAAGGTGCTGTTTAAAAGGTGTGTTTATTGGCTCTAATGAGAGCTACAAGTGTTGTGCCGTGATATTGTATTGATTATCAGAAAAGTATTGATTTTTGTAAACTGAGGGCTATGATGTCTTAAATACAAGTGCAGATCGCACTGTTCTGGTTACATTAAAAACTGTTTCTTTGTTCAGATTTTATGCAAGTCCTAGTGTGTAAATTAGATTTTTTTTAAAGAAATCGCAGTCTCCTTGCTCACAGTATTGCAATATATTGTAATACATTGAATCATTATAGCTAGATTCTTGCCAATACACAGCCCTCGTTAGCATGTAACATCTAAATAGGTTACTATATACAGTGTTTTCAAGGAGCATAGAATTAACAACTGGATGTCCTGGATGCAACCGGTTTAAGCATCAAACTCATCCTAATGCCTTTTCTCTTGAAACATTACAAAAAGAAACATACTGTTTACAAATATCATATTTCTGTCTGTGATGGTGTTACATTTACTGGAAAACAAATGTTGTTACTGATCTCGACCTGGGTGTATTGGTGATATTAAATATCATGTTTTAATTTGTTGGACATAGAATAGAGCAGTGGTCCTCAACCGGGGGGTCAGAACCCCTCCCAAGACAAACCAGAGGGGTCACAAAATATTATAATGACATTCACATCTATTTATTTGGAAGACGAGGTTCAATCTAAGCCATTAGAATAAGAAAAATATATTTCTGTCACATAAAATTTGTATGACTATTTTGTGTTTTGAGCTATTTTTCTAGTGACTGTTGATACCTTCACCTCTTCTCTAAAAAGAGCTCACATTAAACTACCTGTGAGGGAGAAGTCACTGCCCATAACCCTCATTAAGGTGATAACTTGTTATGATGACTCACAAGTACTTCATTTTGGCTGGTTTGGAGCACCACAATGTGTGAATGTGTGTCTGTACACACAGCATGCGTGTTATGTGTATCCCAGCAAAGTATGATTCACTGTGAGAGTCAAACACAAAAACACCTGGTTCTCACCAACGCTGGCGAGACTACAAATGTATGTGTAAGAAAAAAGGTGCAAAGATGATGCAAGTTAAATAAATGTGAGGAAGCGTTTTGAAATGTGCGACTGTGGATGCACACAGGCAGGAAATACAGAGGCGAGCAGACCTGTGGGCAGCCAGGGAGTGGTTTGAACAAATCAGCCTCTGTCTACCACCCCCTCCCCTCCCCCAGCTTGTTTTCCCATTCCCCCTTCAGCAAGATTCTGGGGTGATCACTCTGTGTGGAAACCTCACTACCAACACACACACACACACACACACACACACACCCACCCACACACCCACACACCTTCCTCCCCTTCCCACATCCTCTTCCTGCCTCATTAGCATGCAGCCGGCTCGTTGGTATTCCAACAGCGTGCTGCGCTATGATTTGATTAATGGAATTTGACTTCCAGCGTGGATCCCTGAAACGGGTATGGCTTTTTGGAACAGTGAGGATGAGAGGGGAGGGAGGAGGGGTCCTGTGAGGGCAGAGATGCCTGGCGAGCTGAGAACTGAGTCCTGCCAATTAGGGTCTGGAAGCCCCGTTTCCCTCTAACACCTGAGGATGAGTGTGGCTGTGATCGCATTCTCCACCTCACACAGAGGGAGAGCGATGGCAGGACAGCGATTGAAGAAGTGAAGCCAACTAGCATGGCACGTCAAACTGTCTGTGGACCAATTTGTTCTCTCTCTTTGGCTGGCAGGGCGACCCACACACCTGTGTGACACCGAGCTTTGTGTCGATGCAGCCATCTGAGTCGAGGCAGCGGTGGACGGCCCGGGCTCAGCCAAATGGGTAGAGTCATGAAGCCGAATAAAAACTGACCAACACACTCAGTTACGGTTGTCTGAAACCCATAAACACGTTACAGAGCGAGGCCGGGCGAGAGCAGGAGATCAAGCGCTGTGTGTGTGATGGAGAAAGCCTTGTTCGTCATGAATTCAGCTTAACAGGTTCAACAATTACGCTTTCAAACTTCTGGGTAGTGATAAATATTACTTTGAAGTGACTGATCAGCTCCACCAAGTACAGTCACTGTGCCGCGAGCAGTCTGGTGTTGACCGAGGTTGATGTGGAGGGGCACTGGGTGTGATATCAGGATTATAACACTACAGTAAGGTGACACATTCCTGTGACACATTCGGTTGCACTAGAGAATGGAGCACATTTTCTGTCTCTCCTGGAAGAGCTGGTCTCAGTGTTCCACTTGCTTGTTCACAGGAAAAGTGACAGAAATAGTTGTGTGAAAAATGAGAGAGCTGAGAGAGAGAAAGAGGTTCAAACCCTGGCTCCTCTCTCACCTCCGCACAGCAAGCCAATCACAGAGTGTAGTGGGTGTGAATGTCGGATTGGGAAAAAGATACAGAAAAAGACCCCCCAAGTCCTTCAGCTACCAGGGCTGGTATATTTTAAGTATATTAGTATTTACAATAAGAGATATAATAAGATTTATTTGAGTGACAGTGCAGTGAGATCACACAACTTTGTCAATTTTTATCAGTATTCAGAGTGTGTGTTTTTCTGTAAACACAGGTTTTCAGGAGCTAGTACTAAGCTACCATCTTAACATTTTATTATCACAGTATTCAGACTAATTAAGCCTGTAAAGTAACAAATCTATATAAAATCTATATAAAACGTCCTGGAGAATCATCCAGGAAACCCCCAAATGGTTTTATAACTGTGAATGAATTAGTTTGAATTACTCACTCGGTCCCATGTGTATGCTGCGTGCTGGCCTATAATTGGAGTTATACCAATCAAAAGAACCAATTTTCCACATGAGCAGCTGCTAATATGAGATTTGCAATTTTATAATAATTTAAACACTCGGAACTGACAGAGTGAAGGAGACGAGCTTTGGGGAACTTTCGAGAGAAAAACTGAACTAAAGTGGCTTAATACCAAACTCCCATGGCTCCTAAATGTGGTTAGCATGGTTAAAACTAGTATAAAATATTGGCATGATGTACATTTTCATTTATTACACAATAAAAATCACAATTGATTGTCCAAATTCTTCTCATTTACGCAGTCAATGATTATGGGGAGCACTATAAAGGAGAAAAAAACCACACAAAATAACATAGCAGCCTCTTTCCACTTCCAAGTGGTAATGGAATATTACGACCAAGGCGTGAAAATCATATTAACGCCCTTCCCTCACAGTTAATTGTGCCGCTCTGGATCCTGGCTAAGTACAAAAAATGCATGGACATCACTTTAATACCCACATTTATTGAAAAGACTGCTCTCTTGGGCACTAGTGTTTTGCTCTAGTGCAACTGAAACTTGTCAGAAGGGAATAAAAAGTGCACAAATAAAGAAATCGGTGTCACCGACTTGTTTTGTGTCAGCTTTTTTGGCAGGGAGTCATGTCCTCGGACGGAGCTGCCATTCTGCCATCGCTGCAGAGCCAGGGGAACTTTTGGTGGAAGCATCTTGGACACCAGTGGAAGATTGTTTGACACAGGAGGGGGGCAAAAAGCCAGCTATGAGAGGAAAGTACTCCAAAAACCCTGCACCGTCTGTTAGTGAAAACCTAAGCCAATCTCATTCCATTCTTCTATTATATTCTGACTAATTGTGTTTAAGACTGACTCACAAATATGCATACATACAAATACTGTGTATGTGATTATTTGCATGCACACAAGGAGCAAACACACTCCCACGTGTCTGCATCTGTTCCCGGCATCAGTGTAATTAGACAACAGTGATCCAGAACTGCCTCATGCGTGGCACCCCCCGGCGCAGAAAGATTACCTTCACACGGCGACAGCAAGGGCTTTCAAAGGCAACAATTTCTTTTTTTTTTTGAATATCAAATTAGAGGCCAGCCGGTGGCTTTGGCACAGTCATGGCAGGAGCGGAGGAGCAGAGGAGTGGAAAAGGCGCTTGGCGGGGATGCCCATATGCTCCTTTCCAATTTGCTGTCACTCACTTGAAAAGGCAGCAGCAACACTAAAGAAGCGGGGGATAGGAGCTCCCACCACCACTGTTCATTTTCCAGACTTTTCCGACCTCTCCCCTCATCTTTGACTCCAACAAAGTGAGACCACTTTTGCTCCGCCGTAACTTTGAGCTACAAGGGCACATTCCTGCCCCGGGGAATGCGAGCGAGAGGGGAACAAGTGATACGCCTGCGCCTATCCATCCTCAGAGAGTAGCCAGGAATCCATTAAAGAGGGAGGGGGGAGGTGGAGGGGGGAGATGCAGAGGAGAGGTCAAGAACGAACAAGAAAAGGGGGGCAGCTGCTGCATTCATATCACAGCGAACACATGGGAGCGAAAAAATGGGAACCATGAGGAGAAGAAAGAGATAAAGAGCGAGAATGGTACAGCGTGAAGGGGAACGAGACGGTGACAGAAAGTGGGCCGACGACGCGAGACACAAAGTCCCTCAAATGGCAACAGGTGGCGGCGAGAGTGGGAGCGGCGGCGAGAAACCGAGAGAGATATATGGTGAAAAAAGCAGGAGGGGGCCCGTCAGCGACAAGGGAGGGGCTGTTGTGGAACAAGAGCCTCCTCCTCTCATCTCCTCTCAGGCTCTCAACGTATCCGCTGAGCCATCAGTCAGTCGGGCCTCTTCAGCACCTGTCTCCCGCTGCCTTCCTGAGGGCCTGTCAACCGCAGCCATTTCACCGCTGACAGACTAATGCGACTACACAAGCTGTGGGGCTCCACACATGACAGGCCAGAGAGAGGAAGACAGAGATACACGAGAGGTGGGGTCAGGGAGGTGGACGGAGGGTGGTATTGAAAAAGGTTGAGGGCGCAGAAATACAGGGATGAGAAAGGGAATAAAGTTGTAATAGATTCTGTCAATCATGTGTTTTTTCTGTGGGTCCAAAAAAAACTCTTTTCATCCAGCATTTTTTTGACTTTATAGAGTTGTCAAGTGGGACGAGCTATTTAAGTTCCCATTCATTTTTCCCACAGACAGTGTTACGTGACAGCTGGAGCACTCGGCTTGCAGGGACATGAAACTCTCCTGGTTGAATCATCTGTACAAAAGATTGACAACTGCTTTTAAAAAATATCAAAGTCCAAGGTACAACTCCCAAGGTGCATTTCAGCAAGAAACACTGAATCGCACAGCTTAAAACTGCACTGATTTTATCTGAATCTGCAGCATAAAACAGTTCACTTTTGGATTCTGGGTCAGTTGTGATTGAATTAAGTAACTGTGGCGCAGCTGTATTTTGTTTTATTCAACAACAAAATGTTTTGAATTTGCTCTGATTCATGCCTGACTGTTTTCTTCTCTAGCAACTGTGGCCGAGGCTCATGGGTATTTTAGTGTGATAAATACCGAAATAGAAAAGTTGAAATAACTGAAATTAGTATATACACTCACATACTGGAAGAAGACGACCAACATAACCACTGAAACTTGGCCGCAGGTTTAATTAATACCTTAGATTTAGAATTAATATTCAATATGCTCTTATATTTATATTAATATTTGACAACTCCTCCTCATTAAGTACCTAAAATTTGAAGGCAATCTACATTTTCCACCGTGGTAATATTTTACAGTTTCATTCAAATATGAGGAATCTAGGTGTTTTCTAAAAAAAGGAGACCTGCTCCTGACCTCTTTAAAAGGAATGAATGGCAAAGCATGATTTAGTCTTACCCATGCCTGTGGGATCCCCGGGAGCGTCCAGAGTAGTAGGAGTAGCCCGAGTAGGTGGACTCTGTGTCCATGGTGATGCAGTCCTGCCCAGGCAGCTGGGCCTCGGGTGATGGGGGGGGCAACACAGAGGCTGCTCGTCTGGACCGCTGGTGGACGCGGTGTTGTTGAGCTGGAGGCGATCAATCGGCTCGCTCAAGAGGCTGACAGAGGTGGTGAGCTGTCGGCAGTCAGGCTTGAAAGCGACCCTGGGGGTGCCCGGTGAGGAAACATCAACCTGGGGGGGGGCGGCAGACAGGAAATTTGAATTCAAAATGTGAAATGTCTGGGAAACATGCCCACATTTGACTGTTAGGGACAGGAGGAGAGTGTCTGAAGTGGAACAAAGAATAATAAAGAATCAATCATTAAAGGCCTTTTTAGCTATTTCTATCCTTTAGTATGTGTTAGCAGCCCTTAATGCAGAAATATTGGGCTGTGCCTGCGTTTATCTGCTGCTGCATTACAATCAGTATGTTCTCGCTACAAACCCGCAGTGACAACACCACGTTATAGGCAGCTCTCAGGGGGTTACGTTACAGCTGAGCGTTCCAGATAAAAGGAACACTGCTACTGTGAAACAGCAATTTGCTCTTATTCCCATACGGCTGACAACTGTTGTTCAGAGGCCTAAATCTCTGACACACTGCAAACAATTTAAGCCCGACACTGACAAGCTTTGAGACGAGGAGCACAGCGAGAGCGTGGTGGAGATAAAAGCTGCCTTTTCACAAGAGAACTTCAATAAGACGGAGGTGTTGCCAGTCTCAGGAAGTCGCGATGGCAAACTAAAATAAGAAGGAATCCACAGAAATACTCCAAACATTGTCTTCGTTTTACCTACAAGTCATTACTTTTAACAAGCAGTTTAAAGTATCAGTGTATTGCATGTAAAGTTTTCATTACAACCCGTCACAGCAGCAATGCTCAGAGGATGTTAGTCAGAGAATGGCCTGTGGCTGGACGTGCTTCATCTGAAAATGATGACGTTTTTCAGTGAAGCGTTACGTGACGTCTATAAAACCCCAGGAGGCATTATTTAAGAGGGTTGGATACAACTAATAAAATGAAAAAAAGAGTTTCATTGATTTACAGTTTTTAGAATGACTGAGTTTCACTTATAGCCAGCTAGCAAATAACACACTAGAAGAATTTGAAATGTGGCTTACATTTTGTATTATTAATGCACCATCTCTGGAAATTATATCATTGGCGCATTTTAGGTAAATACAAGATCATAAGCTTTGCAGGTTGTCTTCATTTTCACTATGTAAAGCCTGTCTTTAAATGTTTAAATGGACTTGCCCCTCAGCCTCTCTGCAAATACACAATGATACTGAAGAGCTGCAGCAGATCCATCAGAGCAGCCTCAAGAGGGAAAGTGGAAAGTTCAATTTTCTAAAACATCTTCTGCTCAGACAGCTTTTTCTGTCCGTTTACTCTTTTACTTTCCTGTTTGAAGCCCTTCTAGGGACAGGTGTTGCAAACCAGCATCCGCTATAAACACCATGATACTAGCATCGGATCTCAGCTTGTCTATGTTTACTGTATCTGTCACTATTAAATAAAACACAAATAAATAAATCAATCTAGTTTCATTGATAGAAACACAAGCTGCTGCAGCAGGCTGCCACTAGAGCAGCACCTTCATATTAGACACTGCTGTTGGTGCTATTACCCTTGTAAGTGCACTTTATCCATCTATCTGTTTACAACTGGGACTGAGATAATGTTATATTTACATCTAATAAAACTGAAAATATAAAGCATGCATAAGATTTTAAGACTTCAACTTCATTCTGTCAGCTGTAAATCAAAATAGAATAAATGTTTTAGGTATTTTCAAACACGCAGATGAGGGCGAGTAGTTTTTTAATCCTAAGCAGCTCACTGTCGAGGCTCATCCATGCTTCTTCAGGCTGCTACATACATATAGTGTACATGAATACATTACATCTTCAACTACTATATCACTCTGTATGTAACCAAAAGATAAATTGTTTAGGGCTATTAGCTTTGTTTTATCTATTAATCGTTTGGGCTGTACAATGTCAGAAAATAGAGATGTCATTTTTAGTCAGAAGAGGCTGTTCAGAGAGATTTTAAGAGTAAATCAAACTGTAAAAGTGAGGGGGACATGTCCGCCTCACCCCCAGTGGAAACAACAGCCTTGGTTGGGGAACTAAGAAACTGTACAATGTCACTGTGGGCTCAGTAAGTAACTATTAAATGAATAGTTAATGAAAACAATCATTATTTATGTCCGTCTGTGCAGCATTCCTATCTGGTGACACCACAACTCGACACCACCCATCAACATAATAAACAAAAGAAACTTCTGTGGATGCATACCTGAAACTAAATGCATCCAGCAATACTTCTTACTCACGTTTTTAAGATTCTCCAGCTGGATAGATGCTTTTATCCAAAGCACTTAATAACGGGGGAAACTGCGTTGGGTGATTGGAGCTACATGAAATAATTTCCAGTAAAATCAAGCTGCATTGTTTCCCCGAGAGGAGCAACATGCAGTAAAACCCAACTCAAGCATGAAACAGTTTGTAAAACCAAACACACAGTCAAAACACACACACACTAATTCCATCAATGTCCAGTCCCTGAGCAGGTGGAGGCTTTTTACACTGCATTAAGGGAAAACAGTGGATGATGGGGGGGGGGTTATTGAGTGCACTTGATTTGGTGTGGTCAGAGCGAGCGAGCAAAGATGGAAGTGTTTGAGTGAGATAAATCTGGCTCAAAAGAGTCCGATTAAAAGCACATATTTGAGTGCCTGCACAAAGGGAGTGAGAAAGAGAAAAGTGAGTCATGGGTAGCTTGAGGCATGCTGTAAACACACTTGTGAAACACACACACACACACACACACACACACACACACACACACACACACACACACACACACACACACACACGGCTTCTCTGACAGCTGTGGGAGAGATGAAAAATGTCAATAGTGAAATACACAGGTAGTTAAAACTTAACTCAAAAAGACTTCAATCAAAAGTATGCTCAGATAACACTCAGTGCTCTGTACGTGTGCACTTTGAGCCAACCCGCCTACACTTGGCATTAAACAGCCAGGAACCCCGTATGGAGCGGAGCTAATATTAAATCGGAGCGGATATTAACCAGAGAGCTCTCTCAAACAACACTTTGCAGCTAACTGACACTGAGTTTGGGGGTTAAAGTTTTCTATCAGCGGTATTCTAGGTGAAGTATGAACACATTTTTTATTTCTAATATCTGTATCACCCAGAGTGCTTCAAACGCCTTCCTATCGCCTCTTTTATGCTTTGTCCTGACATAATCTGAAGCTGCAGCACGCCCCCCCGATCGAAACCTGCCCTGAAACTCTCAGGCCAGGCTTCAAGCACACACACACACACACACACACACACACACACACACACACACACACACACACACAAAGATTTATGACTGATTTATGACTCCAGTCGCCTTAAAGGTGGTGAGAAACTGAGCAAAGTGTCTCGCTCACAAGACGTCGCTGCTTTTCTGCGTTCACAACTCCAGGAAAAGGAGTCACTTAGACAGATGAAGTGCATAAACTGCAGTCCTTATCTGCCACTCAGAGGGAAACACATCCAAAAATACACTGTGCCACAAAACATCTAGTATGACCCAGTTCTGAGGAGTGTGGTGTCGGCACATCTGTGAGTGACTGTGTGTGTACGTGTGTGTGTGTGTGTGTGTGTGTGTGTGTGTGTGTGTGTGTGTGTGTGTGTGTGTGTGTGTGTGTGTGTATGCATGCTTGCGTGACTGTCACAGACTCCTGAAAATGCTTTGAAGGTTGCGCAACTGCACATTTGGATATGCTCCTTCTGCAAATCATTTTTAAATGTCTGAATCATCCTCACATGGTGACAAATCCTCCCTGAACTGGTTCACCAAAGTCTCACCGCCAGCTGCACATTGATCCCACTCAATACTTCAATTGAACCAGGGATTTCCAAAAAAAGCCTTTGTTATCAAGAGTAACTATTTAATCCTCTCTGATGTAAAAATGCTTCAGTTCTTTTAATTCATACTTTAATATAAACTATATAGTAACTGGGGTCCACTGGATATGTTGTTCTTCATGTTTTTTTCAAATAAATTAGCTATTTTGATACATGTGTTTCTGTTTGTGTGCTAAATATAAAGCTACAGCCAGCAGTTGGTTTGCTTAGCTTAGCTTAGCATAATGACTGGAAACGGGGGAAACAGCTAGCCTGGCTTTGTCCAAAGGTAACAAAATGAAGGTAAGTTAGAGCCCTGCAAAATGTTGTTAAAGGAAAAATAAAAAGGTCTAATTTTACTCTTGGCTCCCTGGGTCCGGTGGTTTGAGAACCCTGGTTTAAAGGACCCCATACCAGGACGGACATTGCCAGGGAACACTCTACTGCAGGCATTTACTGATCGAATAATGGCCTCTAAGCTAGCTGGACACAATCACAGAGGCATTTCCATCACCTGTTTTAATCCTCTTAAAAGCAAGGGCACGTGGCTAAATGAGGGATTAATAGGGTTAAATGAGTGCGTGGTCCAGGTTCAGTCAGAGCGCAGCCACGAGTAAAGACAGCAGCGAGGTTAAAAGCTCATCGATTATTTCCTGCTTCAGTGTCTTTCCTCACATAAGGCGGGACTTAGTGTCTCCACACATCATCTCCCACCGTTTCAGATGCTTCCCGCTGAGCAGACTGTACTTTACAGTCCCGCACCCAGCGAGAGGCCTGGCTCTGAGGTCTATATCGAAGGGAAACAGGATATGCGGGTGTTCACACATGTGTTTTCTGTCTTTGCCACGCCAGACAAAAAATTGGTAAGCGGAACCACTCCGAGTTCGCAGAGAGAGAGAGAGAGAGAGAGAGGGATAGAGAGAGTCCGAAGCTGAAACAGGAATCCCCCCACGCTGGCAGGGAGGGGAGCCCTGGCAGATTCTTCGCAGTAATCCAAGACCCCCGCTGAGCTGCCGGCTTGTCTGTTTGTCCTGGCGAACACTGGCAGCGAGGAGCAGGAGAGGAGGAAGAGCAAAATTATCACAGCGCTCAAGCATGAAGGGAATATTCTCTCACAAGGCCATTTTATCCACTTTGTGAAAACATGAATCATTGTTCAGGAAAAACTTCTGTGTGCCAATCCTATGCCAAAATTCCTCTAAGTAACCCGACACCTGGGCGTTTTAATTTTAATCTGGAGAAGAAATGAGAAGTGCGGGACTCAAATTCCCCTAAAAAACCACACTGAGGAATGAAAATAAATAAAAAATACACACAAGCTAACAGGTGTAACAACCTGAGCGTAGACTTGAGGAACAGCGACAGAGTCAACATCCAGCGGCCTAACCTGGGAACATAAACAAACAACCTCGCGTAAACAGCCCAAGAAAATACTTTCCTCTCCGAGCTGGAGCGAAGTTACACTGCAGCCACGAGACATCTGCTGTCAGCCGGCGTAAACAAATCAGTGCTGCTCGGCTGCACCTTTCACATCACGTCCAATGAAAGTATCAAACTCCCCGCTTGGTCAGATTCGATTATCAGTGAACACGTGAAAATACCGACACTTTGACACCCTGATTATGCCAGAATGTAGTGTTACATCTCAAACATCGTTATTCTCAGAGTTCAACATGGTCAGTGTAGTTTCAAACAAACGGGGCTTCTAGGGGAAGCAGGGTGCAGCACTGCTGTTCTGCTGACATGGTGTTCAGCTCTCTTTTCCATTACTGGAGGAATCGAGCTATTAAAACTGTTTCAGGTTCAATTATACAAAATACAGGACAAAATACCAAAACACAACAAAGTTCATTCCTCCTATATTGATTTCAGTGTCTTTTGTTTTTCAGTGTTAGTACAATGATGTAGGATTTTAACCCATTGCAGATATATTGCTACCATCGTTTAGTCCACACCAGAGTTCACTGGACAGCTTTCACATCAGCCCCAAGCGACCGAACTGAACAGGCAAACACAGGAGTACTTATTAAAAAAACCCATCTAATTGTAGACAACACTCACTCGTTACAGCTGCAGCTCGAGCTGATTAAGAGTAATTTAATAAGACTGACCTTTCAGACGGGGAAACTGACCCCGTAACACACAAATATTCAGTAAAGTCAGTCTGCCGTCGTGAACCTGCTGCAGTCACACAGTCTGAGGTCACCACCGCGCCGCTGTCCCCGCAGACCGACCCCAACCGCTGAGGACACACTTACAGTACGAGTAGGAGTAGAAGGAGTACTTCCAGTTTCCCAGAGTAAAGAGGCAAATTAAGCATCTAATGAAGCAGATAAGATGGTCCGTTATGTTTTCATCCAAAACCTCCTTTCAGGCAAGCCATTCATCCATTCTTCCTTTTTGAAGAGTAGAAGTGGAAAGCCCCCCCCCCGTAGCTCATTCACACTTAGCAGTGATTAATCCTGAAATCCCACAGCCTTTCATGGCACGTCTTTGATTCCTGCACTATTCCAACAATAGTTTTTACACTGATCCGCTCGAGGGAACAACAGTTTTCTCTCCTTCGGAAAAAAAAAATTATCCATATCAATCATCAGGACTGAATTTGTAGACAACACGTGGTCTTGGAGTGACGCCAGTTTGTGTAAAAGATGCTATTAAAAGCCCATCAGTATTTGGAGCTAATGGCTATTTGACCTGTGTTCACTCTGTGTAAACTCTCCAACATGAGATGATGGTTTTACGTGCAAAATTGGGGATTAACACATAATTACGAAATGACTTATTCTGGATAACCAGGCTGTGGGATTTGACTGGACTTTTGACATAAATCTGTTAAACATATCTGCTTCTGTCATTCACAATGAGGAAATAAGCCGGCTGTGTAACTTCCAGCCATCAGCATGCAGCTCATTCGTCTGACTCACTGACACCTCTCCTTATCGCCTCCTCCATCCCGCCGTAACCATGACGCCCTCGTAGCTCTGCCTCTATTATCGCCAAGCTAACACGTCTCTCCTCGAACCACAATAAGAGACAACCGGCTCGTGCACGGTGTAATGACTTCACTCCGGGCTCCAGAGAAGGTAGCTCTGTGACCGCCGCGGTCACGAGACGTGCCGGGACATGAAAACAAAGTCGCTGTGGAAGTCTGGCCCAGTCACATGCTCGCTTGTGTTGCCGTCCATGACTGAGCAAATGAGGGGCCATTAGTTCTGTGGAATCCAATCAACATTCCCAGGTGTCAGTATCCTGTATGGAGAAACAACAGCAGACTCGACTCCAGAGTCTCTGTTTAGCCTTCAGAGAGAGATTGGCTTATTAGAATCTGATTGTTATTGACTGAAGTGATCATTAACATGCACCTTCTGTGCAGTGGTAATTACACACTGCTATCAGCTTCCATCTGCTCCACGCTGACTCCAAACCTTATTCTTCATTCACATTGTTGGCCTTTACCTGTTGCATTTTTTTCTGTGCTGGAGTTACTAGGCAACCACAATGAGCTGATCCTGAGTGGTCAGAGAATAAATCAGCTGTTGATTATTGCATTATCTGGAGTGAGGTTATCTAGTTGTTATAAACCAGGGGCTTTTCTAAGTCTGATACCGTCAGACACAATTGAGACAACTGCCCCCTTCTCCCTAACTATCTTGGCAAAGTGGCACCATTTAAAGTATGTTGAATTAGCTATTAACAGTAGCTGTTTACAGTGTACCCACAAATGTACTGACAACTTTCACTGGATTAAGTTCACTACTGAAAAAAACGTCTCTCAGGGAAGTTACAGGAGTGCTTTTTTTCTATGAGTTCTAGAGTAATTATGGATGTTTATTGGTTCAGAAAGTGTGAGTCACACTGGATCAAAACACATGCGGCTCAGCGAATCAAATTAAACAGCTTTGCCGCTTTCTACACAATGTTTAGTCGATTTTCTGCCATAAAACACATCTGCGTTACATATTATTAGACAAAACAGCCAAATGATGAATATATCTGCAGATTAAATGCAGTTTGTCTTTTCCAAGAGGAAACCTGACAGTGCAGTGAGTTTTACACTCTGAAATATAACTGAAGTAAACTGAATTGAATTAACTGAAGACTTACTGTAGTTGCCATTGATTTGTTTGACAGACTCTCTTATTTGTTTAACCTGACTGCATCTGGGAAGCCATCGCTAGAGACTGTGTGGAAAAGGGCAGACACCTAAAAAAAAATACTCTGCAGTTGATTGGATGAGCTATCTGTCTGTGACCGTCTATCAAGAGCGAACTTCAACCAATCAGATCAACAAACCATATACCATATAGGCTTTCCAAAGCCGGGAGTACAGTGGCAACACCCCGTAGCTGCCAGTGCTTCCTCAAAGGACGCTGATTGGTCCACTGGTTACTTATTTATAGCCCTACTTTTAATATTTGGAAATGATTGTTTCTACAGCTTCTTATACTCTTCTGTAATGTGTGGTCACATTTTATGTTTGCTACCTCCCCAGTGGTATCACCATTTCATCTCATGTCATATTAAATATTCCACTCATGGTGCCGTTGCATGATGTTGCATGTCACGAGAACACGCTCATAGCTGGACTGAAAAACCCAAGAGTTAACAGACAGCTGGAAAGAAATGACACTGACATATTGCCCGTTTCCTCTCAAGAGAGTACATTTTCTCGACTTTTCCCGCCTAATACAGCAGTGAAAACAAACCAAAAGCCAAGAAGTCCAACGACGAATGGAAGCTGTACATTTAAATGCTTTTAACTGCTATTAACATACATATATACGTAGTGAGCTCTGCAAGCAACACTCCCATGTAGTTTTCAAGCACACATCCAAGATCTCGACAGGTGTCATGGTTGCTATCAATATTCTCTCTGCAGCTGTCTCACAAACCAGAACCACTTTCATGGGACTGAAAGGAATCACACAACTCTCAAATGTTAATCTCGTCTAGAACATACAAGACTTCATGATAATGAAGGTTTTGCATTATTTATGAGGAGGAAGATACAGTCGTCATTGAGTGTGGGTCTGTGCTCTCACACTGTCATGTTACCGCAGTTTTCGCTCTGATATGTGTCGGCTTGGTGTCACTCGTCTGCTACACAGCAACAACATATGGACACTATATCTCATACTTGCATCTGAATGCCTGAAAATAGACTGTAAAGCGCTGTAAAGGAGGAAAAAATGTCCAAATTATTGTTTATTTGTAACATTTCAGCACTTTAGAATGGATTTAATTGTAAATAACTTAATCATCAGTTAAAAATATGTTTAAAGAGAAACTGATATAACTTTTCCTGTCTTCCTGGCACAAGTTAAATGACTATAATTAACTAAATGATTATTTATCAAGGAGGAATGTCAAAAATGTGCTTCTCAAATGTGAGGATGTTCTTCTTTTCTCAGTTTTATATAACAATATAGGGCTTGGTCAGTTGGTTAGTTGGACATAAACTTTATTGCTGTAACAAATAATTAATTATGAAGATAATGAGCTGATTCATCTTTAAGGAAAATAGTTCATTAACACAACACAAGCCTATGTGGTTGATTTCATTATGTACAATGATTTAAATTAAGTTTCTGATCAATCAAATCATGGTTATTATTAAGTTATTAATCAGACGTCACCACCACCCCTGTGCTACAGGAGCACCTGCTCAGTATTTCTGACCAATATTAAATGGCGGCAACTAGTTTATAATACATGTTTTTTTTTAAAAAATCCCTCAGGAAATAAGCTGCTGGGCTGAACTGTGGTTGAGGCAGCCAACCACACGGGGAAGGGGGGATTTAAGCACAGATTAAAGTAGTGCTACAGGAGTAGAAATACACTTTATCACTCATCTGTGTGCTGAGGCTCCAGGGCAGGTTTACCCGCCCAGCTCCTACCTGTGTGACCCAATACGCTGGCGGACCAAGAGGCAGGAAATTCCCTGGTTTCACCGTGGCCTCGGAAGCCCCCACTCCAACCTCTGTGCTCTCCCTCACCTCAGCAGCATATTTATGCGACTACTTGAAAAACCATTTGCTTCAACCGGGTGTAATGTTTTTTTGTGGAGCTTGCTGGTTGTTTTCAGGGTCTAGGGCTGCTACCGTGTATCCGTCCGCGTCAACTCTGCCGCCGCAGGTTACAGTTACAGCTGAGCTGCGATGCACCAGCCGGGGTAATGCGGATCAAGTCAACCGTATGTAACATAGTTGACTTTTTAGTAGCCCCTCACACACTGGCTCTGTGACTTTCCGGTTGTCAGAGCCGCTACAAAAAACACACATTTGACCGAGAGGACAATGTAACAAACTCCAAACTGTGGCGGAAATGTAACAAATACGGTTAACTTCCCCGGTGTGGAGCTGTGCGTCGGTCTGACCGCAGTTTGAGGGCATTCAAATGAAGTTGAAAGCATTCCCTTTCATACAGGTAGGAAAAGACAGTAAGGGCGTGTTCCCAAGTCTTTCCTTAAAAAAACACACACACACACATTCAGCCTCCAACAACAGCCTTTTGTCCTGTGAGTATAAACAATAAAAGGTAACAGACGGTACATTTGAGCAGGCTTAACGAATCCAAACAGGACATTAAAGGCTGTCAGGCAGAGCCTCACACACTACTGAGCCCGCACACTAACATCTGCAGAATACATATGACCGACACTACCTCTCCTGCCTTATTAAAACATAACTCACCCTTTGTCGGCGGAGATATCATTCCGCGTGGTTGATAATTTATCCAGAGGTTATAAAATAGTTTGCCCCCAGAGCACACGGTAGGCTACAGTAGGAAGCAGCCCTTGGTAACCGGAGGAATCACCCTGGCAGTCAGGAATTTCACAGGGGGCAGTGCTTGTCGGAGTATGGGGGGTGTAGTACAGACACATGGCGCTAGGGGTCCAACCACGGGGAGGGTCACTGCCAACGTTACAAACAGAAGTCAGGGGGTCGATGTGAACCTGCTGTGTGTGCTGTGTTTGTGGAAGTTTGGGTAAAACTACAGATTTGGATGCATTTGGAGCAGATTATGTCCTGTGAATACTGATCAGAGATTAGTTCTCTCTGTCTGTATTATGTATTTTTTTTCTCATTTTAACAGTCAAACATACTTAATAGGCTTCTTTTTTTTGACAAATTCAGTGTTTTCTTTTCATTGTTCTATTAACTCTTTGGTTGTTTCAACTTTTTTAATGCAGGACGATGTTTATCAGAGAGTGAAGGCTCTGTGAATCTAATAATAATAATTATAATAATGTAAAAATAACATTTTCAATTACTTTTCTTCACAGAAATCAATAAAATGCTGATATAGAGGCCTACTTCTAAGTTTTCTTATTCTCCTTAAAACCAAGAGGGCCTCATGACCCCCTGTGAAGCTTTGGCGGCTCCTAAAGGGGGTCCCTGAATTACAGTAATGTGTTGTATACAGGGGCAGTTGGATGGATGCTGACCTGTTTTAAGAAATATTAAAATACTCTGCTTTGAATAAAAATGTGTCTGTGTGGAAAAAGTTCAATTACTTTGCATACTGTAGATTTAACATATGAGCAAAATGAAACACATGAAACAGCTTTCTAAGTGTCAGATTCTGCACAATGAAGCTCAAACATCAAAGAGTACAAACAAGCAGGGGAGCGGAGCTTTAACTAGTTAGGATACAACACCATTGTAACTTGATGTATAAAATGTATTTGATCATATTGCACTGTTAGTGTTCGCTCCCCATGTGTACAGAATTTAAAAGAACACTGGTTAAAGATAGGCTACTAGTGTCATTAAAATAGTAATTGATCATCTCATTCTTGCAGATCAGTCTCTGGTTATTTTGTTGTCTGGTGCTATGGCAACCAGGGCAAAAACATATTGTGACCTATGACCTTTGTGTGCTAAATGAACTGGGAAAAAAAGCTCATTTAAAAGTGCCTGCAAAAAGCAGTAATCTGAAAAGTAAAAAATCTCCATTTTTTTGTCAATGAATCAATTCCTGGAGAGTCACATGAGGGCTGAAGTACCTTTGCTGTCTGTCCCAGAAAAAATATTTGGGATGATGAACAATTATCCCCCAAAACTCACAATCATTACAACCCATTTGTCTGATCGGTGATGTCGCTCCAAACACGCAGATGGGGGAAGGATGGCAGGATATCACACAGTCTTAGATTTGCATTACATGAGTGTCACACGTGTCAGAGGCGAAAATTGACAGCTATCAAAGAAATGGTCGATGCCATGGAAACAAGCTGGAACATCCTCCGTGCCGAAGTGAATTCATGTTTTGTAGACAGGACTCAGGAGCAGGTTCGGGATTATAAAGTTCTATTAAATACACAAAGTTTACAAAATACTTTTTCCACAAAGGTCTCCTGAAAGTTTAGACGAGAACAAAAGCACCAGTCTCTCTCTCTCTCTCTCTCTCTCTCTCTCTTCTCTCTCGCCCACGCACAGGCAATGTTTTTGTCACAGCTCATGGACTTGAATAAGGTAAACAGTTGTCAGTGATACAGCCACTTACTGCCTCACTCAAAGCAACAAAACACAACAGAGAAGCGATTGCAATCTGGCCTGGACACAGTCGGTGAGAGAGACACAAAGAAGTCACAGAGGCCTTGAAGCTGCCTGTTAATGCATCTAAAACATAAACAAATATTCTCTCGGATAACTTCCAGCCCTTTAATAAAGGAGAACGCGGGCATATTTGATATTCGACACTGACCCTCACCTGCTGCTAAACCTGCTATAACTCACTGCAAATGTACTTTAAGTATTAGAAGGAAGAGCTCGGGGGCACTGGTGCTTTCACTGATGTGAAATACAGGAATGTTGTATTGGCTAAGTGTCTCCTGAAGAGGAGATCTATTTAGTTTGGATATTTTTGAATAAACTACGGGTCAGGAGGATGGTGTTCTTTGATTGCAAACAATCTCTACAGAGGAGTGGTTCCCAACCTGGGGGTCAGGACCCCACCAAGGGGTTGCAAAGTAAATCTGAGGGTCACAATACAGTGAATCGGAAAGAGTTGCAGAAAGACACATTCATGCCTCACAAATTATAGTTATTTTTCCTCACATTCCTCTGATCTTTGCACTTTCTTCTTGTGAATTACTGAATAATTTAACATTTAGAGTCCTCTAAAATGGGGGGGGGGGGGAATCTCTAACAAGAAGATAGTTAAATATAAAGAACAGCCAGCAGTCGGTTAGCTTAGCTTAGCATTAAGACTGGATCTCATGTAATTCAGTAATGTTGAACTAATTCCTTAATTTGTCAAAAAACCAAAAAGGTCGGGAACCAAACTCATTTAAAACTCGTGTTTCTTGAATGCATTTGAAAACCAGATGCAGGACCCTGATTGGCTGACAGCATCCGTTAGAGTTTATAGGGGAAAAAGAGTAAGACATTTTTCAAGAAGCTTTTTCTATAAATGTACGCAATGTCTTATTCCTATAGCCTACTATTGCACCTTTAACCTCAATAAGTATATCTGCTTAAATAAAGGTTACATAAAATCAATTAAAACACAAATCCCCACCAATTGATTTCACATCTCTCCGCTGTCGCTGCCATTCGTCCTCTTTTGTGTCAGGAGACAAAAGGGGGTCTCAGGCCAGTTCATTCAGACTCCAAACACACATCAAAGTTCCAACCACAAGGCAACAGATGCCTCCAGCAATTACACGGCTGTATATGAATCAATATTTTGTCCTCCTTTGAACTGCATCCTTACCCCAACACACACACACACACACACACACACACACACACACACACACACACACACACACACACACACACACACACACACACACACACACACACACACACACACTTCACACCCTTAGATATATCTCATCCCCTCCAGAACACAATGGGGGTCATGACTGGGACACGACCCCTTTCCCTCCCCATGGAGAGCCAAATAAACACCAATTCTGTGTCAAGGATGGGGGATGGAAGATTAATGTTTGACTCTCTGTCAATAATCGTCTGTACCCACATTTATGGAAAATAGGATAAATGGACTGTATTAAAACACTCACTTTACACTACATGTCCCATTCAGACAGCATCAGGAGCAATGTGGGGTTTGGTGTCTTGCTCAAGGGCACTTTTCCATGCAGCAGGAAGAGCTGGGGATCGAACCGCCAACTTTCTAATTCAAGGGTGAAACCGCTTTACCTCCTGAGCCACAGACACGTCCCCCCCAACACACACGTTGGGTGTCAGATTGACTAAATAAACCGATAATTCAATAAGATTTCAGAATTCAGCAGTTATATGTGTAAAGGACATTTCATATAGGATACTTTAGTAATTTATCATAATTTAGCTTCATTCTCTCAGGACAAACATCATTTTCATGCTGATTCTCTCCCAGCAGCTTTCCAGCATCATAGTTTAAGATAAGTGCGCCACCATGTGGCACATTGCCGCCATTACATGACCTAAAAGCTTCCAAAATGCACATCAGAACCCCTCCATCTGGCAGACAGATGAATGTTTCCTGTTCATTTGTCATGTTTTACAACTGGAAGGTTTTAAAAGAAAGAATAAATCCAACCTTTGAGTTATATTATGAGTGGTTGTCGATCTGCAATCTGATTGGTTGTTTGTTAACTAATTCTGCAATTAAAGTCAATATCTAGAAGTTATTGATTAAGACTAGTTTTTAAAAATCAATATATCATCTGCAAGTTAACAAAAGACCTCCGCGGCTCGGGTGTGAGAATAAATCAGCTGCGGTGAAATCAGATTACACAGCCGAATGGGAGCGCGAGGCACCCTCGTAGGCACGCGCGTCGTGTGACGGCGAGCACTGGCAGCACGTGCTGTCACTTTTTCATGTTTATTCAAAGTGGGAAGCGCGCGCAGATGGCCCCTATTGAGATAGGCGAGGTGGGGGCCCCTGAGATCAATTCAATTTGGTGTCCGGAAGATGGATGGATCCCTCCCCAAAGACACGGAGTTTATGAGTTTAGAGAGGTTTTTGGTAAATAGAGGAGAAAAATGAAAGCGCGTAAAAATGAAGACGAAGTGGGAAGAGGTGCAGTTTATGAGACCACACGCATACATGCACACAGAGAGAGAGATATTCTCTCTACAGCAACTTTACAGGCAGCCAGATGAGACTCTCTGTTCCGTGGAAATGAGCTTTAAAGGCCCAATTCGATTTTTTTTTCCCCGAGCAGGTTTATGTATATCTTACTACAATGTTATGGTTAAAGGTTAAATATGGAGATGGAATGACTACTAAACTCAGATACAGATCTTGTTTACACTAAATATCTTTATTTCAAGCAATTTAAGCAAATAAAAGAAAAACTGAATGTCAGATTTTAATCTAAAACAAAGTGTCAAACAGGAAAGGGAGCATAAAAAGATCAATAATGCATATTTTAT